AACCTCTGCAACTTCTTTTCAGAATCTCCCAAGAGCACAGTGTCATCAGGAAAGAGCAACTGTGACAACTCCCACTTTATGTGTGATTCTTTATCTTTTAACTCCACACCTCTTGCCAAGAGCCTCGCATTTACTTCTCTTACAACCCCATCTATAAATATATTGAACAACCACGGTGACATCACACATCCTTGTCTAAGGCCTACCTCCTATACCATACATCTGCAACATCTGCCACATTGCGCCCCTATCCACCCTGTCATACGCCTTTTCCAAATCCATAAGTGCCACAAAAACCTCTTTAGCCTTATCTAAATACTGTTCACTTATATATTTCACTGTAAACACTTGGTCCACACACCCCCTACGTTTCCTAAAGCCTCCTTGTTCATCTGCTATCCTATTCTCCGTCTTACTCTTAATTCTTTCAGTAACAACTCTACCATACACTTTACCACTTATACTCAACAGACTTATCCCCCTATAATTTTTGCACTCTCTTTTGTCCCCTTTGCCTTTATACAAAGGAACTATGCATGCTCTCTGCCAATCTCTAGGTACCTTACCTTCTTCCATACATTCATTAAATAATAGAATCAACCACTCCAAAACTATATCCCCACCTGCTTTTAATATTTCTATCTTTATCCCATCAATCCCAGCTGCCTTACCCCATTTCATTCTACTCACCGCCTCACGAACTTTTTCCACCCTCACAACTCGCTCTTCCTCACTCCTACAAGATGTTATTTCTCCTTGCCCTATACACGAAATCACAGCTTCCCTATCTTCATCAACATTTAACAATTCCTCAAAATATTCCCTCCATCTTCCCAATACCTCTAACTCTCCATTTAATAATTCTCCTCTCCTATTTTTAACTGACAAATCCATTTGTTCTCTAGGCTTCCTTAACTTGTTAGCCTCACTCCAAAACTTTTTCTTATTTACAAAAAAATTTGTTGATAACATCTCACCCACTCTCTCATTTGCTCTATTTTTACATTGCGTCACCACTCTCTTAACCTCTCTCTTTTTCTCCATATACTGTTCCCTCCTTGCATCACTTCTACTTTGTAAAAACTTCTCATATGCTAACTTTTTCTCCCTTACTACTCTCTTTACATCATCATTCCACCAATCGCTCCTCTTCCCTCCCGCACCCACTTTCCTGTAACCACAAACTTCTGCTGAACACTAACACTACTTTTTTAAACCTACCTTATACCTCTTCGACCCCATTGCCTATGCTCTCATTAACCCATCTATCCTCCAATAGTTGTTTATATCTTACCCTAACTGCCTCCTCTTTTAGTTTATAAACTTTCACCTCTCTCTTACCTGATGCTTCTATTCCCCTTGTATCCCATCTTCCTTTCCTCTCGCTGTAGCTACAACTAAAAAGTGATCTGATATATCTGTGGCCCCTCTATAAACATGTACATCCTGAAGTCTACTCAACGGTCTTTTATCCACCAATACATAATCCAACAAACTACTGTCATTTCGCCCTACATCATATCTTGTATACTTAATTATCCTCTTTTCTTAAAATATGTATTACCTATAACTAAACTCCTTTCTATACAAAGTTCAATCAAAGGGCTCACATTCTCATTTACACCTGGCACCCCAAACTTACCTACATCACCCTCTCTATAAGTTTCTCCTACTTTAGCATTCAGATCCCCTACCACAATTGCTCTCTCACTTGGTTCAAAGGTTCCTATACATTCACTTAATATCTCCCAAAATCTCTCTCTCTCCTCTACATTCCTCTCTTCTCCAGGTGTATACACGCTTATTATGACCCACTTTTCGCATCCAACCTTTACTTTAGTCCACATAATCCTTGAATTTACACATTCATATTCTCTTTTCTCCTTCCATAACTGATCCTTCAACATTATTGCTACCCCTTCCTTAGCTCTAACTCTCTCAGATACTCCAGATTTAATCCCATTGTTTCCCCCCACCGAAACTCCCCTTCCCTTTCAGCTTTGTTTCGCTTAGGGCCAGGACATCCAACTTCTTTTCATTCATAACATCAGCAATCATCTGTTTCTTGTCATCCGCACTACATCCACGCACATTCAAGCATCCCAGTTTTATAAAGTTTTTCTTCTTCTCTTTTTTAGTAAATGTCTACAGGAGAAGGGGTTACTAGCCCATTGCTCCCGGCATTTTAGTCGCCTCATACGACACGCATGGCTTACGGAGGAAAGATTCTTTTTCACTTCCCCATGGACAATAGAAGAAATAAAGAAGAACAAGAGCTATTTAGAAAAAGGAGAAAAACCTAGATGTATGTATAAATATATGCATGTGCGTGTCTGTGAAGTGTGACCAAAGTGTAAGTAGGAGTAGCAAGATATCCCTGTTATCTAGCGTGTTTATGAGACAGAAAAATACACCAGCAATCCTACCATCATGTAAAACAGTTACAGGTTTCTTTTTCACAGTCATCTGGCAGGACGGTAGTACTTCCCTGGGTGGTTGCTGTCTACTACCTAAATATATATATATATATATATATATATATATATAATATATATATATATATATTATATAATATATGTATGTATGCATGTATATATATGTGTGTGTATATGTATAATGTCGCGGCGAATAGGTAAAACCGTAAATCTTGCGATTTTGGATTAAATAACAACCCTTGCTCTTCTTGCCGAATAAGGCAAACGAAAATTTGTGTATGGAATAATTTCGAAAAAAATTATTCTGACCCTAACAAAAAAGATATATTTCATTGTGTTTGTTTATTATTAAATTATTGTAAACTTATCTAAAACATATTTAGCTGGATTACGCTATGCAAAATTGCGCTTGCTGTAATAATGCTGCTTTGGTACAAAATTATTCATTTTTACATTAACATGAATGGAAAATATGTATATTTAAACGTATAAGAGAGAATTTTAGAAATGACTTAATTTTGAATAAGTTCTAACCAATTGACTATTTTTACCTATTCGGCACGATATATATATATATATATATATATATATATATATATATATATATATATATATATATATATATATATATATTATATATATATATATATATATAGGCCAGGTAGTAGGTTGGTAGACAGCAACCATCCAGGGAGGTACTACCGTCCTGCCAAGTGAGTGTAAAACGAAAGCCTGTGATTGTTTTACATGATGGTAGGATTGCTGATGTCTTTTGTCTGTCTCATAAATATGCAAGATTACAGGCATGTCTTGCTACTTCTACTTACACTTAGGTCACACTACACATACATGTACACATTTATTTATACACACTCATCTGAGTTTTCTTTGATTTTATCTTAATAGTTCTTGGTCTTATTACTTTTCCTTTTATATCCATGGGGAAGTGGAATAAGAATCTTTCCTCCGTAAGCCATGCGTGTTGTAAAAGTCAACTAAAATGCCGGGAACAATGGGCTAGTAACCCCTTTTCCTGTAATGATTACTAAAAAGAATAATAAGAAGAAAATTGTTTTCTTTCTTTTTTGGGTCACCCTGCCTCGGTGGGAGACGGCCGACTTGTTGAAAAATATATATATATATATATATATATATATATATATATATATATATATATATATATATATATATATATATATATATATATATATATATGCAAAACAACCACTCTGAAAGAATAGAGAAATTCCAAGCGCTTTCGTGACTACTCACATTATAGTTCCTTGATAATGTGAGTAGTCACGAAAGCGCTTGGAATTTCTCTATTCTTTCAGAGTGGTTGTTTTGCATATTTTGAAATCACCTGTTTACTGTGATCTTATTGCATATATATATATATATATATATATATATATATATATATATATATATATATATATATATATATATATATATATATATATATATATATATATATATATATATATATATATATATATATATATATATATATATATATATTCTACCAATATATATATATTGGTAGAATATATAACAGTTGATTACATTAAGAAACTAATGCCTTTGATAATATAATTATAACCCATGATAAAATATTTTTCTCATCATGTTGTTATATATTGCATTGTATTATTATTGTTATTACGAATTATATTATTGAATTATTGTATCTTATCATATATTAATTAATTTTATAATATCCGGTAGAGTATATACTGCCTAAGGAGTGTGTTTCACTCGGTATGCATATATTCATTAAACCGCATTAATTTATCAAGCAACCAATACTTTCTTCCATTCTTGTAGGTTCCGACATAGACCGAATTTGCTGGTGGCAATCGATGATTCTAGCTTTGGTAGGTTGATGACTGTAAAAGACCCTGGAAGCTCCACAATTTCCAAAGTTCAGTTTCAAGGCTCACTGGGAAAGCTCATACAATACCTCTCTGAAGCACTCAACTTCACGTAAGTAAATCCCATAGAACTATTAACAATTTATACGGTAGGAAAAATGATGGGAATGACTTAGCTTCCCAGTGTGACACTTTAGGCCACTCAGCCACAGATGCCACAAGAAGCTAGGTAGCCATCTTACAAGTTATGTTACTTCCTAGCCCAAGACACACTAGTGAGCCTCAGACAATATTTCCAGTTACTTCATTCTTCTGTATGTTCTGATCACACTAGAGCTTTTATATAATTTTATAGCATTACATCTAGAAGAAGTAAACTAATCAATAACATCTGAGCTCAGAGATAGTATAAGCGGATCCTTATATCTAAAGTCGCTACCATGAGTTACAGGATTAAATTATATCAGTTTATATTGAATTTGTGAATAATTTATTTGTAATAGGTTCAGACGCTCCAGTGAAGGTTAGGTAAGGTGTTTGATGATCCCCTGAATTTATAAACATAAGGAACATCTGAAGGAGGTGTTTGGGTTATAGTTTTTTCATCTAAAGAGTGATTTTGATTTTTTTTGGCACAATGAGGGCGGATAACCACTACGTAAGAAAAACTATCAAAATTTTGGTTTCTGTGTCAACATAGGTGAAGCTGAAAGCGGCAAATAACATCAATTATAGTTTTAATTTTTGTTATTCAAGGTAATCAATGAGTTCACGTAATCGTTTTATTGCAAGGTAGGCTTGGCGAGACAAAACCAAGGATTAGGTTGACTAGGATGGTGAATATGCTGAGTTTAGAGCTCTACCAATCAGACCATCAACATCCATAAAGGAATGATTCTCAAACCACCATGGGTAAGTAAATTGAGTGAAGGCAGTAAGGAGAGAAAAGAGTGAATGTTAGAGATCAAAGAAGCGGCCAAACTATTGTTATATGTTTTTTGTTCATTAGTCTTAAAAGAACAACATGAAAGACTTCTTCTAAGCACTGATGCTTCCTTAATTTAGACTTAGGAAAGACTAGATAAGCATCTCTCTGGTTCATGAGGTGATTCTCAGTGGCCCTTTGGACAACTCTCTGGTTATCCATACTACATAACTCACTTGTGTTTACTAAGCTTGGTCAAAAGGTTGCTCACAATTTTTTTTCGCCCGGTGTCTGCGTGGATGGTGTGGACTCCAGCCCCAGGAGCCAATGAAGAAATAAAGGGTTGTTTCTCGGTGAGATCTTAGATAGAAGTAGCGGCTATAAGAGCCAAGTGTAGGATAATCTTAGTGAGACCTTGGATACTGAATAAGTGCCATGTGCAGTGTTATATTTTGTTGACGAAAATTTTCGCCATGAGTGCCGTCTTTAGTTATGAGAAAGCCATTCTTGGCGAAGTGTTTCCCCAATAAAGTATTCTGACACTGAACATATGACTAATTTCACAACTGTTGATATTTTATGCCATCTCTTACCCACCCTGGGAAGCGTTGTCGTCCACATCGACACATACGAGAACTATTAATTTCATTGCTCCCTTCTTATTTAACACCACATCATTTTATGGTATACCTTATCTTACACTAGCA